CCGTCATCGTCTACCAAGTCTGGCGTGTACTCAGACAAATGCACTGAGTGCATAATAATATCCTTTATTATATGAATACCAAAGAAAAACCAGGAGAGCTTTCGAGCAATAACATAATATCTTCACACGTGAAAATAACATTTTATCTTCAATTGTGAAAGATCACTGTTGCTATGGGTACATAAACAATCGCGCCTTTTGCAGCAAAAAAAAATTATTTGGTGAAATAGTTTGCTAGTCACTGAAGGTGTCTATGCAATTAATAGAATATTGCATGGCCGTTCTGTAGATACTTAATTTCTCTTCTCGTGATCAAAAATATTTCACTCGTTCAAGATTTCAACACTCGAAGAGAAATTTCGTATCTCCGCGTAGCCATTTAATATCTTCTACATCAATCATGGTCTATATCTAGTTAATCCAAAACGTCATTTTGAAGAACGAAAGTCACTAAGGCCGAAGCAAAATCACTATTGTTTACTGTCTATTAATTAGTTCAATTTTTTAAGCAAAGAATATCCACTGCCCAAAGTTAGCAATGGCTAGTCGAGGCGAGCAGTGGTTACACGTATTGGAAATTCAGTAAACGTTTCAACGAAACCTCCCTTCACCTTTATTATTTCAAGTGAAGTACACAGTTTTATCGACTTCTGTCTAGTAGCAGGCGCTTGGAAGTAATGGGCGCGGGAAAGAAAGGGACGCGCGAGATAGACACGCGAGGGGGAGGGAGCGCCTGACCAAGAGGCCGAAAAAAGGCCACGAAAGTCGTTTCCCGTCCCCTATCCAATTATCTGGCAGCCGCTGCGCGTGATCTGTCAATAATTTTGACAGAAAACGCTCGCACAAACACTGAGCATGCCAAAGCGTTGTACATTTATCTCCTCGGTCTATCTGTTATCTGATTATAGAGCGATGCAGCAAAGTATGCAAGCTGTGCCGTGTTGACGTGTGGACCCATTTTCGCGGACATCATTGGCGAAAAAGAAGGGGAGAACGTAAATCGTTATCAATAAGATCATTTACCTGGGCAGTTATGTCATAGGCGCGCACTAATTTCAAATAGCTGTATGTTAAAGAAGAATTGTGGGTAGGGACGAAAAAAGGCCGGACAATTGGGAGGGGGAAGGGAGGGGGGGTAAGAAAGTAATTCTGTCTACATCCACTTCTAAACAAATCCCTAACTACAAACAAGACCCCCACCCTCCCCACCCCCCCCCCAAAAAAAAAGAAAAGAAACACCGGTTTTTATAACTCCAGGTAGATATATAGGGAAAAGAAGGCTGTCTCGACTATAAAAACGTCGCAAACTCAAAATTTTCCAAAGGGTTAGTCCATGATTTTGATCAAAAGATTTAAATATTCTTCTAGTCATTACTTTTTTTGGTCAGAAATTTGAGTATTCTTTCTTTTTTGATTCCCACTGAGAGAGCCCTAAGCCTATTGGTCAAGCCAGTTGTTTGATTGGCGCGCGCCGTCGGCGTTCCCGTGCTTATCTCGCTCGGCTTGTCTCGCGTGTTCCCCAATCCCCACTTAGGCTTGGGAAAGCCTGTGGAAGAGGCAGCCTCTGCAGTACACCCAAGATCTTGTTTGCTTTCTTTTTCACTTCCACAGTCGATCGCGGTCTGTTTGGATCAGTTATTGTGACATGTGAAAAACGGTCCCTTACTGTCTTTTCCAGTTTGTAGTAACAAAATAAAGTCGGTAAGATTCATCGAAATTTTGTAGGCGTTTTTAATAAAACAATTATTCCACTCGGGTTTATTGGATACGAGATTATTGCTAAACCAACTCGGCGCTTTGATGCGTTGTTGAACGAAACAACTAAACTTTTTTTGCCTTTTTACGAGTAATAACGGTTATCCGCCACTGAGTCCCTTTTTTTGGAGAGCGTTATGTGACCCCCAATAACGGAAGCAAACATTTTTTGAATATTTGTTAGACAATCTTCTAAAGAGGCTAATTTCACTTTTAGTTTTCAACAATAAAAAGCCAGCGAAGCAAAATTTGTGCTTACTAAGCGTCTACCCGAGAATCCACGTATCTTGGCTTGCAGCACAAGAAGGTTTCGTGATTTCCTGCAATTTGTCTTTGAATTTTGTTCGCCTTTACAGACCGCCGGCATTTCTATCAGACTAAATAATGTTGACGGCCTCCAAGTTCTGTTTTGCAGCGTTACTAGCGGCTTTTCTGTGTCAGTCGCAAGCTCGGCATGATGGAGACGTCGAGAGCGAAGACTTCAGGAATTTCACCAGATGCAGCTGGAATTGCCAAGTTATTGATTCTGGCTCATTCAAACAAACGAAGACAATCTTTGCTAAGAGCAAAGTCATCCAAGTTGCTGTCATATATAGGAAGAAGGTGGACGAGAAATCATGCGTTAACCAAGTTCCTTTTAACTCAAGCAGAGTTACCATAGAGAACTGGCAAACATGGCGACCAGCGAATCCATCATCCAATTTCGCCCACGTAATTGACAGAGTACTGAATTTGGTTTTTCCTCCTTACCTTGAAGAAAAAAGAGAAATCAAGGTAGATTGTAACGTAACACAGACAACAGGTACGATGGAAACCAACCGGGATTCAGTTTTGCCTGAAGTTATAATTCAAGGTCACCTTACGAACGACCTTGAAGCAAACTTTGAGAGTATAAACATAGGTAACTCAACAGGAAACAATAGTGACAATCAGTTGAAGCGTAGCAACGGATTTAAAGATGCAAATTTACCATTAGTTATTCTTGTAGCGGTATTGTTTACAGCTTTCGTATATTATTCCCCTGCATTTCTTTGCTTTTTCTCTCCTACACTGGTTACGAAAAATGGTGTACGTTATATTACTCTGGAAGGAGCAAGTCCTGTAAGTCTTAGCTATCTGATAGCAAATTATTTCCACTCCGAAGTTGATAATCTCCGGCATAAGACTAAAAAGCTTATTGCGCAAGCTGTGTTAGTACCACTTCCATTTCTTGTACCTGCGGTTGTTTTTTATCACATGATCATTCAGCGTCTCCAGCGAGAAAGTATACCGGTAAGATTTCGATTCATTCTCGATTTCTCGCAACCTTTTATGTTAGTATGCTTTATTAGTTATTTTCTTCAGGCAGTGTACGATTCCTTTTTTAATGTGACCCCTATCAAAACACCCTGCTTCGTTTGTAGGAGTGTTAAATCCAACCTCACATGCAATGATAAACTTCCTCGGCGAATTCTCAATCACCTGCGCATTCAACCACTAATTATAATGAAATGCTGGAGACTGTTTTGTAGACGCCATGTTAGTTATTGTAAAATATCTCGAGTTATTTTGCCTTCTTGGAAAGCATCTATCTCATGGTTTCTCCGTGTTCCCGTATTAATTGTCTTCTTGTCTACGATTCCAATCGTCACTGTCTTACTACTTGCAGGAATGCTAGTAGCAGTTCTATTTAGTATTTTATTCCTCACGTCTCCCTTGATCATCTTAACCGATGTGACTAGGGTCAATGTGGATAGTGGCTCTGTCTTCAATAGTTTACCGGTTTTGGTATTTTTACGAATTTTCGTCACTAGTCCAGCAATTGCTGGAGCAATGCTGGTCTTGGTTGGTGCATCGCTTACTTTTTTTATGGCTATAGCTATACTTTTCATCCTTTTGTTTTCTGAGAAAGGCCTCCCATATGTGGTATGCTTCGTTCTAATTTTGTATTACTTGGTGAGTAGCTACAGCTCTTTCGTTAACAAATACCAGGATCTCTCTCTAATGCTTTTTAAGTTTTACAAACAACTTCGTATAAAGCAATATGACCAAATATCAGATGATGAATTACCGATGAATCTTGAACAAATAGACACTCCCAATTCTGACACCAGGGGCGTTGTGGTTAGAATTCCACAAGACCTTTTCGACGTGGCATGTGACAAACTTATGCCTCTCAGAGAAAGTGTTTATATACTGTTTTTAAAAGTAATTTTAATTCTCAGTTTTGTAAGTCTTACGTTTTTGTTTATACTGCGTTTTAACGTTGGCGCAACGCCTGTGATGCGAGCTTTAGCCACTTTTTTTACTGGATCTTTTCCGAAGATCCTTGGCATCTCTGGCATCGGGGACAGACAGCGAAAGCTTAAGGCTACAATCGTAGAGGAAAAAATACCTGAAATTGTGCGAGATTACGTAAACGGAACTTCAAACATATATGAAATGGTAGCGGGTGAGGAGAATGGTTTAGTCGATGATCACAGTAATCTCTTTGAGAACACGGTTTGATAACGCCTCGTTCAGGTAATAGGGTTTCGTAGCTGTTTATCTATCATACCAGAATGATTCTGTATCGTCCATTGAAGTTCATTCCGGCTCTACCCGCTTTATCTGTGTTGGGTTCAAATAATAACACGGCGTTAAGTCTTCATATACATGCCACTCAATTCACACCAAACAAAACCACCTTCGGTAGATTAGGCAACATATAAAAGCAGAGAACTAAAAGACCAGCTTGTTTGTAGGGTCCAAGTTTCTAATGTATGATTTTCCTTGTGCTAACGTAGACGTCGATGATTATCGTCTTTCGACTTTTTTTTTGAAAGTTGCGTGAATCTAAACAGGGTTTACCCTTGAGATTTGGTGTGAGTAGGGTATTATTTTGCTTGAGTTTTTCTTTCCTTGTTCTTGAGTAAATGACGAAAGAGTGGAATATATAAGAGTAAGTGGTTTGCTGCAACAGTTATAGCAACTAGTTTATAATATGACTCTTCGTTTACCGAGTAATATCTTGTTAATTTTTTTCTATTTGTATTTTCAGTTCATGAAAAATAACTGTAAATAAAACGTTGTTTTCTTGTTGTTGTGATTCAGCTCTTACAAGCATTGGAGCTCCCCCCGCCAATCTCGTCCCCAGGTCTTCTTCTTCGCAGCACCGGTCAGACATTTTACAAGTAGCCCAAGAAGAAGGCTGGAGGGTGCCCTCACTATGAAGAACTGTTGATTGCAAATTAAAGAATTGCGTCCGGTAGGGAGGGGTGATAGAC